GAAGATATTTAAATCAATAGGAAACTTGTTCATGTTATTATTTAATATTTAAATCAATAGCTCAATATTAGTACCATATACGCGTACTATATCAATATCAGTGTGTTTGCACAAGTTCTGGTGTGGTTTGTTAAGTTGTCGTTACTTATCTACGGACTCTTAATTGCTTAGCTCACTTTTAAAACTTGCTTTGTGTGATTTATTTGAAAATATTTTTGAAATTCCAATGTAAGGCTAACTTTGTAATAATCCTTGTGTCGGTCCTCAAGAATGTATACAAAGTGTTTTTAAAAATATCTTGTTTGAAAGAGTAGTGTGGAAAATGTTGTGTTTGTGAGAAAGCATTCAAGAGTCCTACCCAATAAGTATGGTCTTTCTTATTCTTTTACTTCTCCTTTGGAGATAGTATTATCCATACCATTAGTTGATAGGTAATCATATCTATTGGATGTGAGGGACAAACGTAGGGTTATTGTATGGTCATAAAAGACAACACGTAAGGATACTTTAGCAATTGTATCGAAGGGACTATCATCATTTTGCTCGTAGGGTCATCGAGAGACTGAATCATTTTGTAGACAACTCGAAGGGTCATCAAGAGATTATGATCTTTATTCGAAAGGGACCATGATGATATTGTATATTGAGGGTCTTTTGCTAAAGTATCCCCACTTTCAAGGGACATGACCAATGTTTCGTAAGGCAACAAGAGAGGTTACCCTAAAGGTGCAAGTGTGAAGAGTGTGCTAATTCAGTTATCTTATCTTAAAAATTAGGGTTATCTATGTCCAATGATTAGTCTTTCCATATAAACCCTATTTTATTAGCAGTTAAATATGTACATAAAATTAAAGTGTGGAATGTAAGGTTCCTACGCTATTACATGACTTTGAGAGAGATGCATAAGTATAAAAATTTGTGGGAAAGTAAATCTACGCTATTACAATTGAGAATGCAACATATACACTTTTCTAGGAAATTAAATAGCAAAAAGAAATAAGAAAAATGTTAAAAAAATGTTTAAATGCCTAAAAATTCTATGTGTTAGAAAATATATTTTTTGTGTTTTTTTAGAAAATAATTTGAGTTAATAATTAATAAAAACCTAATTATTCTAATTAATTTTAATATTAAGAAAAAACTAATTAACTTAATTAATTAATCAATAAAAATATGTCAAAAGTTTAATCACTAACTAAAAAAAACTCAATCCTAATTTATTATGGCTTTGAAAAAAAGTTTAAGGTTTGTTAATGGTTAATTAGAAAGTAATGAAATAAAATAGAGTGAAAATTAGGGTTAGTAAATTAAGAAAAAACAAAATGCACGGGGTGAGACTTGAACCCACGCCCTCAACCTCAAAAGTATGCCCTTCTATCCACTGTGCCATGGTATTGTTTGTGTTTAAGAATGAGAAGCAACTAATCTATTATAAACTTGCGTGTTATCCTGAAAAAAGAAAAATTATTTGATAAGAGGAGAGATCGAACCCATCCCTCTATGGTTAACAATCATCACTCTTACCACTCGTTCACTTGTTATTACGCGTTCATATTACCACTATCATTCAATATATAATAAAACTTAATTCAGAAAATCAGAAATCAAACGAAATTAAATATGTGCGTGTTAGTGGGGTCTAGGATTTTGAATGGGCCAATAGAATGGTGACACGCCTAGGTCGCCTGAGTCAGAAGAGTCAAACCACTGTGGAGGATGTTCAACTTCTCCTTCCCCGATGAAGGGGTTTTGAAAATATGCAAAAACATATGAAAACGAAAGATCTAATGACTCAGATCCACTAATTAGCATGTTGTGAGTTCAATGGCATGATTACTTTGGCCTGAAACAACCTGCAACTGTAGATTCAAAGCTTCGAGAGCTTTGTGCCCTAGCAATGGTGAAATTTTATTTATGCGCTATATATCACAAGTAATGGATCAAAATAGTTCCAAACATCATCATGAACATATATGTATGCAGCGAATCATTCAACAATGCATGAATTAAGAGTTTGAGATTGACAAAGTTACCAAAACCGATGATGTTGAGGGAGAGAGTTCTGGCGTGCTTCAAGCTTGAGTAAGGATTGATATGACTTCCTGGGAACCTCAAGAGTGTGATAGAATGCTTGGAATTGATTGATAAAGGCTGCACACGAGGATTTGAGTTTGCCCTAGTTTCTTGAAAATTAGAATATTTTAAGGTTACTTCTATGATGTAGCATGCGTGTTTTGCTTGGTCTTTATTTTTTATGTATTTATAAGAGAGAAGGTTAGGTCAAATGGTGACCTTGGATACCTCATGAAATCATATCTTTGATTTTGTTTGAAAATAAGTTGAAATCTCCCAAACCAATGAAGATTTTTTCAAATATAGATCACACAATTTTTTCAACTTCAAGGTAGATTTTTGGGCCTCCAACATGATTAAAAATATTAACCATGTGCCTTAATCCAATTTTTTTATATATTTTATTTGATTTAATTTTCATTTAAATGAATAAAATTAAAATAAAAGAAATAAAAATCATAAAAAATATGTGAATGGATTTAGGGGTCCTTTATAAGGTTATGAACACGTTTAAACCTAAAAACTTATGCCCATTAGCCCAAAAATTCAACTTTGCTCAAAGTGGACTTCATGCATTTTCTCAAAATTGCTCAACTTGGACCAATCATAACTCTCTCAATTTTTGTCATATGAATATGATCTTGAACTTTTTTGAAACCTTAAGATGTCTCCTACAACTTTCATGTTGGTCATTTTCTTATTTGAAGTCTTTATCTTTTTGTAAATTGCTTTGACAAATATGTGTTTTTGTTGACTTTTAAAATGACCTGTAAAGTTTTGGTCATATCTCTCAAATGAAGCATTTTTTAGCCTTGATATCAGAGAGACAAAGTTTTAGAGAATTGAATTTACTTCAAGATAGGCTCTGGTTGAGGAATTTCTGATGAAGTGTGTGAAATTTATGCTTGGTCAAAGTTCAGTTGACTTCTCTTTAAGAAAACTCTAATTTAGTAACTTTTGATTTTTGATGAATCTTGAGTTTTCTTAATGAATCATGATCAACCCTTAATTAAATGATGAATGTGACTTCATAATATTTATGTTGACCAAAAATCTTGAAGTTTGACTGTAGATTGATCAAAGTGGACTTTTTATCCAATATAGTTGATTTTCAATCATCTGGCTAATTGACTGAGCAAACTTGTACTGCAAGGCTTGAAATTTGGTATGAGGATCGTTGAAGCATGTGAGAAACCATGAAGTCCACTTGAGGCATTAGAAACTCAATTTCCTTTGAGAGAAGCAAAACCCTAGTTGTAGGTCAATTGTTTAGGATGAGGGTTTGTCTGATCAATCTGTGAGTAATCTTGAGTGCTTGACTCTCATAAGCATGAGGATGTGTCTTGAATTAATTTGTATTGAAAATGAGACGGTAAATTTTGGGTACAACAACTAGAAATAATTCACATAACAAAATAATAATCAAAAGTAATTTCATAAGTAACAAAAATATTCAATGTTAGATAACATATATGTGAATGTTCAAATTTTCTGAAATTTGAAATGCAAAATTATGAAGAAATGATTTACAGGTAAGATTAGATAAGTTCTCAATAAGCTAGTATTTGTCATATGGTCAAGTATTTGTTAAATGAATTCATAATCAAATAAGCACTTGATTACCTTGGCCTCAGAGGTTGTAAAATATACTCATAAGCATTTAGTTGGAGAGTTTGAAGTAAATTGTACATGTCAGGACGATCCAAACCTGGTAACTTACGAGAAACCCAATTGACTTTATTCAAACAAAAATCACTGCATTATCTAATATCTCAGTCACAAAGAGTTATGTGGAATGGAAGATCAACAACTAGTCCCACCATTTGGTAAAACTGACGGAGTATCGACGACCATTTGGTTTTCGTTAACTTTGAACCCTTTGCCGAAACACACCCCAAGACAATAATGAAATCAGGTAAAGTGGAAAAGAGAACGAAAACAACACAATGGAACCTAATTAGACGCAATTCCAGTCTATAGCATATCTGTTCAACTCTAAATGCAGAAATCTATCAATTTGGCGGAGATGAGCCGACACAGAAATGCCAATCTTTTTCAAATCCATGAATTTACGACAATCATAAACTTTTACCACCACAACATCGTATCAGTCAATATCACACTGTAGCATATGGAAAGATGCATAAATCTGTTAAACACAAAAACTTTGTATCAAAAACCAAAACAGGATCTTGAATACATCATAGCATAATATGAAAAGATGCATAAATGAGTTACATGAAAGGAAAACACTCTAACAAAACTAACCTCATGAAAATATAATGAAGCATTTTTTATGACACCAGGAATCAACTGAATGTATATAAGGAGATTTTCCAACTTCTCAGATAACTTTGACTTCAAATTTTCCACTGGCACCATCAGCAAGGACAAGTAGATTTGTTTGTAGTATCAAATGTTAATAACAATGTAGAAACTTGTATTTTTTACTATAAAAAAATCATCCCAAAATTCTCAAAATTTTTCTGGTGCTCGACGAGATATTGAACATTCTGAATCCACATAAATAAAAATTCAGAAACAGATAAAATTGATAAAGAAAAAGGTATAATTTACTACAAAGGAAGATTTATGACCTCTTGCAATTCATGCTTGGCATTCTCAAGGCCCGTGATGTCTTCCCAACTAACATTAGGCACCTCAACAACCAGTCAATAAAGAGGTTAGTAAGAAAATAGACCACCAAGAAAGAAAGCCTCATTAACTAATCCCACAACTAATTAATCCTTTTGAAATATTGGAGGAGTCATAAAAAAGAAAACTACCAGTTTCACGTAAAGCTGAAGGGTTGCTTGTTCCAAGGGCAATATGGAAATGTTCATTTGTAACTGCCATGGAATTCAATATTTCAGCATCAATCATTTCATCCTCTAAACCAATGATGTCCATATTCTCCCTAATACATTTCAAAGCCGCTTCAATTTAAAGGGCAGCGGGGTCATCCCTAACATACCCATGAGTATCTTTTCCAATTCTTTCCAAATCAACCTGTCGAGAAAAAAGCATAGATGATCAGCTAAAAATTTAAGAAAATTGTAAAGCAAAATAACAATCAATTCTATATAAAACTTGATTGTGGTTATTAACATTACAATAGAAGAGAAATCAAGGTAACAAACTAAATAGTTGTGAAAGTTAAGTAACAGGTAATGCAAAATTCCTTTGGGTGGTTTCACACCAGTGGATTTTAAAAGTTGTGGATACCTCAGTGGAAGCTCAACCAACTCGTGCACCTATGCCATTTGCTTCCTTACATCACCCACATCATCATAACCAATTTCATCAAGCCTATCTTCATATTCTCTTTTCACAGGCTCCCCTTGCAAAAGATCTCAGTGTCTAGAGCAACCATACAATACTCCCTAAGATCAGTTTCAATGACCTTAAACTCTACACTTATCATCCCTCCCCTCACAAGAAATAGTCTCCTTTTCTCACAGGATGATTAGCCCTTGAGAAATAGGTTGTAATTCATATTAAAAAGTTATACTTGCACAAATACAAAAACATACATATTCAATCATAACCAACATCGAATCCATAAGAAAAATCATAAAATTGAATCTCTTCTTTGTGAAATTTTTTGCTAGCATTGAATCCACACGACCCGCATACGACCCAGAACCCTTTGTGGCACCCAGTTTTATACCTCGCTGATGACGTCGTGTCGTCTTCACCCACAAACCCTCCACCGCGGACGAGAGAGGACGATAAATGCGAAACCGTTATAAAATTGGAAAGAATTGGAATATCAAATGTAAATCAATCTAATTAACAAAATAGGGAACAAAATCAAATAGAATGAATTGATGTAATTATGTAGAATTGATCTTAAATTGGGAGTAAAACCTAACAAATTTGCAAACCTAACAAATTTACGTACTCCGATTGTTTTGTTGAGCAAAGAGACCCAAACCAGAACCAATCTCTACTCCTATTCACGATTATCCAATACAGTTAGTTTAACGCACGCGTCTGTGCTTCATTTCGGTCTCGATATTGTTCATAATCTAAAATAAAGGATGACAACAGAGAATCAGTTCAGAATTTGATGAAGAAGCTTTAATAATGGTAACAATGACAAATCATTTTAAATACAAACCTCCGATTGAAGATGAATCAACAATTTGATTTTTGGCTGAGGAGAGAGAGAGAGAGATTTCAGTGGATTGAAAGTTTTGATCTGTGAAATTCTGGTACAAACAGACTCATATGTTCTATACGGATGTCAAGACATCTGATCTGACATAACACAAAGGCAAGATAAAATATTACTGAAAAATTAAAGAACACATCAGAATTGTTTACCCAGTTCAGTGTACAATAACACCTACTCTGGGGACTACCAAGCCAGAAGTCCACTATTAGTAGTGTCAATTTGCAGAGCCTACAGCCAACACACTCATTGACGATATACACACTTAATCACTACCCAATGACCCTTCTATCTAGGTCCTCCTTAGATATGGAATATCTCCATCCCACTTCCAATCATCACAATGATGTCTAGCAGTCAACACCCCAGTCATTACGTAGACGACCCTTCACCAAGATTCTGATCACACATATAAAAAGTTTGGAAGACACACTTCCATGACAATACCTAGCTAAGTCTCCAAGCCAAACTCCACTGTTTATTAGCTTTGATCCTAATACATACTGGAGTTACTTCAAAGCTTCCTCCAAGAATAATACACCTCTTACCTACAGGCTTCGAGGTGAACATAGTAACCTTCCCACAACCCGGGAGGTTTACCTTAACAAAACCTTAAACTCTTACATCTTGAGCCGTGTTTTTTCTAGGTTACAACCTCTTCTATTTATAACCTATTAACCAACTGGTTTTGGGCCTTCAATCACAGTAAATCAGCTGTAACAAACTGCAAAAACTTTATCCCCAAAAAGGTCTTCAATCTTTACTTTCCTAAATAATATCCTTATTTAGAAAGTCTTCATTCTCCTTGATTTCTGATTGAATTTTATGGACCTTTAAATATACGCCACATAGGATGCATAATATTCTCCTGAATATTCTGCCAATATTGAGAACAAACTGAATCTCATTAATCCAGCTCAGCAAGCGCGATGTCAAGACATCTTCTTCGACATGTTGTTCCAATTATTGAAAAAGTTCAACACAACATGTTCTGACATTGTAATAGGACTTCTTGTTATACTTGTTCTTCTTAGCAAGTTTATACATCATATTATATATTACATTATTGCTGCTATTATTTGTTTTACAAAAATTAAGCCAATCCTAAAACAAGAGAACTAACAATCTCCCCCTTTGGCAAATTTTGGCTAAAATAAATAATCTAAAAAACAATTTGCAGCAATTCAGAAACTGCTGCACACAACAATAGATCTTCAGTTGAAAATGATGTCTCAACATCTTGTTAGACATCTTCTTCGTAGCACTCTGAAGAACTCAATTGCATCATCACCAACGAGCATCAGTTTCAGGATTAAAGGAAGGAAAGTCCTGAAGTTTGGTTGATGCACACGAGGAAGAAGATAGAAGAAGACAAGTTGTACTCTCCCTCAATGCAGGAACATCTTCTAAACATAGAAGACAAATGGTGGAATAATAGAACTCTCAATAACTCCTTAAGACCAAATCAACCACCGCCCCTGATAACTCAGAACACAGGTCACAACTGTGTTCATAACTCAGATCACATGTCACAAACATATGTCATAGAAGTAGGATCAAACATCTTATTTTGACATCTATGAACATTAATAATAACCACTTGCAGTAGCATCTGAGCTAATTCACCTTTTATCTCCCCCTTTTTAGCCAAAACTTGGCAAAAGAGACCTTCACAATACCAGACCCAAGCACAACTTATCCAAACCCAAATAAAATCCATAAGAATTATAGACTCAAGGAGCTCATGGGGTTACAGAGATACGGAGAAATCTCTATAAATAACTGGTATTTTTACTTGAAAAAAAAAACAAACCTAGATTTTAGCACCAATCTTGGTCAAAAGAAACAATATTTGAGGAGAAAACTTCAAGTATCAATGTGCACCGTCTATAATGGCTTTGAATGCTATAGCTACTTCCTGTACATACACATGCATAGTCAGAAAAAAATTTCTCCCCTGTTTACAGCCACGTGTTTGAACACACAGGCCACTCCATCCTATGTTGACCATGCAAGAACATGTCATGTATAATGTCCTGACACTTAGTCAGACACTGTCTTCTTATTTCAGTGATCAATACATCTTCTCCCACCAATCAGGGATGCTTCACTAGATTATCCACCTGTTCATACTGGATTCTAAGTGTTCTTCTTTCACTTAGACTTAGTGACATATACTAAAATATCAAAATATCACATTTGTGACACCTCTTTATAATATAGACCCTCAAGGAGTCTTTTTGAAACCTATAGAGAAAAATAAATTCCGCCAGACTTCCCATTAAATTTCTAAGAGATATGTGAACTTCTGATCTTCACCAAGCTTCTCATAGTTAGAAACAACCATGTCTTGTTAATTTTATCCATAACTTCATAATGTCACAACATGTTGTTTCGACATCATTTCCTTATAGAACCTTTACAAAAGTGAACAGTATTCTGACTTGATAATACATGTATCATTGCAACAACAATTTACAGATATCCACATGACTCCCTTTGTTATGAGTAACTAATGCTCCAACTGAAGATGAAGACTTGTGCACTAGATGAGAAACTTCAGCACTTCTTGCATATGTTGAACCTTGACTCCCTCAGTTGAGTCAAACCAGGGTCAGATATTCTCACTCCTTGAGAATACTTCCAGGAACCTTGACTTCTTCACAACACAAGGACACATTCGATCACTGTCTTTTCATAACCACACTTTGTATCATGACCTTTTGAATAGGCAAGATGTCATGCATACTAGGTGAATTCACTCACAAACTCCAAAAATATTTAGTTTGCTTAAAAGCTTTACTAATATCCAGATCACCAAACCTTTTCTGGAGTGACTTTCAGCAAAAAAATACCACTTCAAGATGCTCTGCTCAGACCTCAGTATTTGTCAGCAGCCTTCTGCCTTTATATCCACTAGTAGTTGCTGATACTAGTGGAGTCTTCAACAAGGTAGTAATGCATTGATCAAGCATGCTAATGTAGACAATATTAGAATCTCCATATTTTAATCCACATAGTCAGAAATTCCACTTCTCACAATAATGCTTAAGCTTCCAACTTCACATGAAAAATCCCAAGCATTAAACAAAACAGCCATCAATAATCATGATGTTAAGACACCATGTGGTACATTAAATCCATAATAGAGAACCTAATCAAACTTGTTCTTGATCAATCATTTTAAGGACTCATTATATATAGAAATCCTTTAAGAATCTCCCATTAGAACACACAGCCGGTGCACAGGTTCCTGCATGATTTACAGTCTGGTTTGCAATAATGGCTTTGCACACCTGATTATCAGTCACTTCCAACTCACAATAATCATCTTCAACACAAACACCTTCCTATATTCCTTACTTCTGTGATCAACACAAGTCAGCAAAAGAGATCAGCTCCATAATCTCTTTGCACTCCAGTGCACCTGCTCCCAATTCTCTTTCAAGGGCAATTCTTCTTTGAAACACATATTTCAACTTTTCAGCATTGTCAATAGAATGGAAGGAAATGTTGTCAAGTGGAGCATCAGGTACCCTGATAGAAATCTTCTTGCTTGCAGACTTCTTCAAAAGAGAGATGTCCTGGACATCATCCTCATCATCATCTGAGGAGCTATCAGGTCTAACTTTTCTTTTGTTGGAGGGAGGAACTACTTTACTCCAGGGCTTTGGGGGACTATACATAGTCTTCTTCTTGATACTCTTGGAAGAGGATGTGATATCTCCTAACAATAAGCAGGATAATCTTCTTGATCCCATTCACTGCCGCAGAGAAAACTAAATTCTCGCAGAACCAACACATCCTCTTGGAGAAGGATGGTATACTCTAGCAACATTTGTCTAGAGTCTTCAGAGACTCATAAGGACATAAACAACTACATCTTGTAGCAACATGTCTCAGCATGTTATCCATAATCATCTTCATTGTAGG